TTCCTGTAGCTGAGATATACTATATATAGTTGTTAATTTGCTGAAATAAAGTATGTGTAGCAGTTACATTCTTCTTTGGCTATTAACCATTGGATGCAAAACGATTCTGAAAGGAATAACCTAACAAGCTACTCACATGATAAGCATGCGTTATATACTTGATAGTCATTTGTTATATTTGCTATCTGATCGGTACGTCGACTAACCAGATCATCGTCTGGATAGCCATTGTAATTGCCAGCTAGGCCCTCGATGTACCAGTGATTATTCTGTTTGGACTTGAATTTAGCCGGTAATGATAACGTGCACGCAACAGTTGCACTAACTAATATACATCGCAAAGAAATACCTATTTTTATAAAAAAAAAAAGAGGACTGATCAGTGCTTTTTTTGCAATCTAGTGCTTTGAGCTATACTAACCGGACCATAAATTTAATACTAGTTGAGGCAATACCACACTTTTATTTGAATAATATTGTGTGTAATTCGTTTGTGTTATTGAAAAAGGATGTGTTGTTTCCGGATTATTTTCATCACTATAGTAAGAAAATGATATGTTTGTTGCTGGTACACTAATATTTAATAAATTTGACTGATTAAAAACCCTGACATCTAAAAATATAAAAGTTATTTAAATATTTTTATTTTTATGAAAACAGAACATATCACTTACTGAAATGTATCTCATCAATACTAGATATTTGAAATTTCATTCCATCACTATCAATGGTATAACTTGTAAAAGATGAAGCGATGCCTTTCTGGTATCTAATATAATCTAGATGTGGCACATTAATGCTAGCTGTTACTGTCACAGTGAACAAATCATGTGTATATAACAACATATTATCTGGATCGACAATATTGCTATTAGTGTTATTTTGTGCAATAATATTGGCATAATCGGTTGTTTGAGCAAAAATATAATCTCCAACAACATGACAAGTGTAAAGTGCACCATCAAGTGTACGAATGTGTGGATCGCCACCATACCACACTTAAAGAAATATAGAAAAAATATTTAATATTTTTAAGAATATTTATTAGTTTTTTTCTTTTGAACATTATGTGAATGTGCAAAAACTACAAAAACTAGTTGATAAGTATGCAACAGTTATGAAACAGCCTTTTCTGATCTCTTTGCGAAATAAAGTGATCATCATTTTTTTAAATGCATTTTACAGAGTTGGGAAACATCTATCTTATTTGAATGTAACATGTTCGCTGTACAAAATTATCTAGTCCAACAGAAATATAAAAAATAAATAAAACAACACATCTGAATAATTAAGTACGGTAGTAGTTAAAAACTGTTGCTTCATTTATCACGTAGACGTATCATATTTCAAAATGTTCATATTTTTATTAAAGTCGAGTTTGAAATTTTTACTATGCTACGAAACTATAACTTAGACATTTTTACAAAATCATACGTTCTGTAAGTCTGAGTAGTTCTTAATAAACAGGTTACAAAACTTTTCTTAGAAGCCCCAAGGTTATTTATATAACTGATGCATACCGAGTTGTTGATGGAAAGCTCGAGATGAATACCTGCTTGCGGCGTTTGATAGTTTCGACAATTGCTAGGTGGACGTAGTTCATAATACAATTTACAAGAACTCCAGTCGTTTGTTCTGCAACAATCATCTCTACAAAAGAATTATGAACTAAGCACATCATTTCATAGAAATATTTTCTAACTTAAAGTAAAGATTGTTATACCTGAATTTTATTCTATTTTCAAATGCAGTTGCATGACGTATATCTGATATATCTCGTAGAACTGAACCCGCAAATTGTCCATATGTTATAATGGAGAAAGAGAAGATATTGTAGCAGCACGTCTGAAAGAATGATATTAATAAACAGCTGTTATACAGATGATTTAACTCACTTGTGAAAGTAAACGCCCAAATCCAGTACCAAGTCTGGCCTTTATTTGACTCACAGGTCCAAAACAGATAATTTGATTTTTTTGTTCGTATGAATTTTCATTGTTCATTGGTGTAAAACGACTATCAAAAAAAGCTTGAATCCACGTGCACGGGCAAGGAAATCGGGGGTGATTACTGTAATGAAAATAATGAGAAGTAAAATCTAAACGAAGAATGTTACTTTAACATACGTATCATCGTTCAAATTAATCAGCTGATACTGTTGAATCCGTTGTATTTCACTCCAATATTTATATTCACAAGTAGAAAGGAATCGTCCACCGACATACATGCCCGCAATAGCTTTTTCAGCTAAAATACCAGATTTCATTTATCAACGTTCTAAAATATATACTAGATGTCTTATCAAGTTACCAATGAATCCACTTTGTCTTTGACTAGAAGGATTATTAAGAATCAGTAAATTTGAGAGTGCCGTTCGATAACCTAAAATATTTTTAAATATTGAATTGAAGAAATGTTTTCATTGAATTTACTTACCAATAAAAGGCTTTATTTGACTATTAATTTCTAAGTTCGTATAGTCGAAAGCCAGATATGTTCGAAGCACTGGTCTATTGATGTAAAGTGTATCGTAGGTATTGATTATAAACACACTAAATGTTATACCCTAAACGATAAATTCTATATTTCAAAACTATTTCTTGCTAATCTTTTGACATATATTTACAGTTTGTTTGACAAATGATGAAGTTGCCGGATAGGTCAAGTTTTTCCATTTAATGCGTACAATTTTCATGAGACTATCGTTTAACGAAGCACATGGAGGCAATGGACAAGCTAGTTCGATGATCTCATTAACTACATTGCGAATAAATCCATTGCTTGAATGTGATGTATTATATACACTCACGGCCATACTAGAACTCTATGAAGATTTAACAACTTATAGTGTCAAAGGTTTAGTTACTCATTCTCATACAAGAACTAGCTTAATGTTGAATCACTAGCAGCTGTTTAATAGAACAACTCTAGTGTAAATGAGGCCAAATAACCAGCTTACTTGTTCATATGTTAATGTTGTCCAAAACGGTGCTACAATGGCCTGTTTAAGTAGTTGAAAATTTCCTTGGTTCATATCGCGCTGATAAATTGGATCGCCAAATGTTAAGTAACCTTTGTCAACTATCTATGTATAGGAGATCAGAATCATAATTATTTTTGTTTAATTGTAAGAATGTGTCGGCTAAGAAGTTGAATTACCCAGAGTCGAGTATATTGATATGGTGGAAAATATATTGAATCGAATAATGTATACTCTGCTGATAGAATATTACGGTCCACGCCAGACTGAGGAACAAGGATGCTGTCTAAAAGGTGTATAACTAAGCATAATCTACCGAAAAAAGATCACCCAAAAAAATGATTACCTGAACAATCCGGTAATGTTGTACATGGTTGGATAGTTGTTGTCAACGACGTATCACAAATACAACTTCGACCACTTTGCAAACAACTTCTACTCAAATATCTAATAGCATACCCACAAGTTGCATTACAACTACCATTTCCGACGGGAGCCCAGCTTGAGAACGAACATGCTACGATAAAAAAAAGGAGATTATTCTAATGCGTAAAAACTATGGCGATTGATTTGGGCGATAATGCTTACAAACTGTAGTAGTTGCTGTTGTTATCGAACTGGTAGTAGATGTAATAGAAGCATTGTTAGTGATAGTATCAGTTAATGGGTACCTAGAACTTGTTGTGGCTGTTTGTGAAATGACTTCGCTTCTATACAGCGACGATGGAATCGAAGATGATTCAAGATTTGGTAGAGAAGCGGTTTGAGTTGTGATGTTTTCTGACGCTGATGTTTCTCTAACATGTGGTATAACAGTTGTTATAGAAGGGAAGAATGTGGAGGTTTCAAGTAAAACCATTGAAGTAACTGTTATTGTTGTTTCCTGGGAAGAAAAGTTAGTTTGTTGTGCAAAGGGTGCAGACGAACTTGTTGAGTATATTGTGTCACTAATATTTGGTGAGTTAACTAATAGTTGAGAGGTTGAGGCAATCAGTTCGAGTGCGGTAATGTTGTTAGTGACGATGATGGACGCCAATGCAGTAGAATAGGTGCTCTGACTGGATTCATTTGCGCTTAGCGACTTACTAAGTGCTGATAATTCGGACGTTTCTATTTCAAAAATAAAAAAAATAGCTTAATGCAATAGTCAGTTGCACACATGTGCTCAAAATAACGAATTTTGTTGGACACATTTCAAGTTAAACAGAATGTTTCACAGGTATTCTAAGGAATGTTGTTTTTTTAATATGCAGGCAAGACACATTTTTCTTATAAATCTGTTTAAAATCTAATTTAGTAACATACCTGTCGATTCATATTGTGTTGGTATATAACTTGATGATAACGTTAAATTTTCTGAAAAAAATATCGTAGATTCTGATAGGACTGAAGTAGTTATCGCTGATGTTAATTCAGGCGTTAGCGAAAAATTTTCTGCTGTGCTTTCAGATGAAACCAATGGAGTAGTCGTTTGAGCTATGGTGTTTGCATTCGATATTTGTACTATCGTGATACTCGATAATGGCAAACTTATCGTTTTAAATAACGTTGTAGTTTGAGTAGAAGAAAGTTCTTCATTTCCTGAACCAGTGAATTGTGATGATGACTGCACCAAATTTGTAGCTGTGGACAAAACTGAATTTGACATAGTCTGAGATGTAAATATCGTAAAAGAGCTTGTGGTTTCAGATTCCGTTAGAGATTGAACAGTTGTAAAAGTAGATTGTATTTCTTCAACAAAAGTTAATGTTGGTTCAGAAGAGTCAAATAGTGGTGTCATGATCATTTCAACTGATACTGGGAATTCGTTCACACTGCTTAGAGTTTCATTTTCTATTAATGTAGAACTTTCTCTTAAACTTGTAACAATGTATTCACTATTAGTACTTTCTGATTTGATAGTTGAAGGCTCTAGATAGGTTTCTGATGATGGACGAATTGTTGATTCCATAGTCGATGACATTGTCAATTGTTGAGGTAAAGTACTTGTTTCCACGAAATATGTTGAAGATATTCTGGAGATAGTTTCTGGAGTTGGAAGAAGAGTGGCTAAAAAATACCAGTATATAGTGTATTAGAATTCAAAATAGTAAAATCAATGAAAATCGATAGTGATTATTTCACCAGTTATAAAATAGACAGTGTCGTACGCAACCGTCCAACACAATAGTCTACTTCATGTTAAGTTCAAATGTAATTTGCTCTTTTTAATATTTCTTTACTACTTTTGGTGTTGCATTAGCATAAGTTAGCCTTTCTTTGTAACAACCATGCTTGCAAAAATAAAATTCAGTTCAGTTCGATTAAGGTTTCTAACGGCTTTTAAGAGAGTGATAGTTCTTGTTTTTTTTGTTAGATAAATCGATATTCCAGATTCTAAGCTCAATTTTTTTGAAACAGGCTTTGTTTAGTATACATAGCAGGATCTCGCAAAATCTCGAACCATTTTTACTTAGAAAAATTATCTAAAGCTTAAGAAATTTTAAATTTGAGAAAGTGACTCGATTTAGTAAGCACAAGCACCTACCTAAATGTAAGTTTATTAATTTCTAAAGGGATTCCCTGATCTCTGATTTGCGCTTTTAGTTCTGGACGTTCCGTAGAAGACAGAACAACCGATGTCTTTGCGGATATTTTCTTTCTCGCTCAAGTCACTATTTATGTAAGAATCCAACTCCCCGTTTCAAGCAATCAGAAAAAGTTAAGTTCTTTTAAAATCATTCTCATTTTAGTCATTTTCTTTTGAACGTGCATGTGTCAATCAAGGAAAATTGTTAACAAAATTTGTTCTTAAAGGGCTTCTGTTCATCCACATAAAATTGAAGAAGGAATAGAGAAAGATTTTATAAGTGTGACATTTCTCTCTTGTTGTTATTGCTCATTGCACAGTTTTTGTGTTGTTTTTACAAGAATCAAAAAATCTAAGTAGTTGTAAGTAACTATGTATATGTAGACAAGTAGTGTATGATTGCGAAGAAGACGAAGAATAAAAGCAAAGTTATATACAATTTGAACATAAATGGTCATTTTTTTCTTGTGAATATAGTTAAATAACCGTACAATGTCAATAATTCTATTAGTTTGCCAGTGTGTCTTGAACCTCAGAGATATTTATTTTACGACTATAAATGAGAGAAAATGATGAAAATTTTAACACCTTTGTATTACTTACACTCTCCACTACCATCGACTGTTACACTTGCATCAAACAACATTTGTCTTGACATAATATCAATGGGAATCAATTCTTCGTTGTGCATGTCAATTAAATTTGCCCATCGTTCTTCTTTATCATCACTATTTATCAATGATGATTCATCATAAGATGTTGTTAGAGACAAATTTGTATACTGAACTAATTCTGGTTTCGATGTATACAGAGAAGAGATGTTCATCACCGTAGTTGTTGTCGACAGAACGGTCGTTATCATCGGTAGCGATGTGTTCAATTGAATATCGCGCTTTAATTTCTGTCCCTTTTTTGACAATGACGATGGTGACTTCAACAACATGCCTGTATTAACGAGACGAAATTCTTCGTATAATGGTTCTTTATTAAGTGATTGTACAATTTGATGATTATGTTCGATCGCATGAATATCGGATAGTTCGCGAATAGTACCGATTAGATCAGAATAAGAATGTTTATGATATGAACTAGACCATTCCATCTTTTTTTGGCTTATAGCTAAATCCGAATAAAAACAATATGACAAAAGTCATCTCTTGAATACTACTAGACAAATTTAATATAAGATTTACTCGATAAAGATACCGTAAAGAATGTTTATAATAATAAAGAAGAAAAAGTAGTCCTATGCGCACATATATCACATAGACAAGACTTGTCTAGTTTATAATATGTTCTGTTTTTGTTTTAGCGTTATGGTTTTCTTTATCTGCTTCGGTTCCTGTTATAGACATTTTATCCTGAAATTTGTTTAGGTCTAAATATATGCGTATGCTAATCGAACTTCTTATACTTTGGCTATCATACAGGTGAACTATTTCTCATATCGATGTGTTATTATGTTTACTTGTCATAAAAAAAAGTAGTTGACATATCTCGTATATATGAGATCAGTTTGTACAATAAAATCCTATAATTTGTCAAAACGTTTTTACCTTTGATGATATATGGCCGTTTCAAAAATAATAGAGCTGCCAGCAGCGAATAGTATAATTGATAATTCATTATCAATTATGCATATATAGTGAGTGACCGATAAATGAATGACTTCTGAAATGATTAATACCAAATATAAATAAAAATACAAAATCAATGTATGCTAAGAAAGAAATATAAAAGTTTAGTTTTCGTATGTCCGATTTTTTTCTTAAAAATAGAAAAAAACGTCGATTGTAGTAGCAGTAACAACTCGAATAATATTTTAGGACGTGTAACTAAAATTTGGACACAACATAGCTCAAGAAGAATGACAAAAGACAATAAAAGTTAAACTTTCGAAATATTCAGTTCTTTCTCATATATTTATGAATTGTACAAACCTGTTTATATATGTCTATTATGAGCATTTATATACTCAAAATGATGAATGAATATCAATAATAAAAAGATGTTTTTACCGTTTTTTTAGAGAGAGAGAGAGAGATTATCAACAACAGCAGTAATACTTCACCGATTTCGATAGAAAAAGAGTAGATGTTAAATCTGTTACAATAAAACAAATTCTCATCTATATCGATTGTACAAGTAATAGTTAGATTAGGCACACACATACTTTCATCCTTAGAGGAATTCTTTTTGACTGTCGAGAAAGGTAAACTAAAACTTTATACATAGTGAGAAAAAAAGAAAGAATAATATTATCATAATAAAAACAGACAATAAATTGTGAATATTTTCAAATATAGGTTAGATAGACAGAGTATACATAAATGAAACTAGCCGGAAGAGAAAAAACAATTCGAAGAATCTTGGCCCTTCGCTAGTTATCCAGCATAAAACCGACATTAACATCGACCCAAATTTTATTTTTAGCGTAGCATATGAATAATTGAAGATTGTCCGTTTGAGTTTTGTATCAATATCGGGTGTCCTACTCTCAGTCTTTTTCCACACCTAGTGTACACGGAAAAGTCCTTGTCAATATCATCGTTTTTCACACAAAATCACGCCTAAACTATAATTTCAGAACTTCAATCAAGAAAACTAAGCTAATTAGATGAAAGTCGAAAAAAATGAAAACTTTCCAAAATCAAAAATGTTCTTCTGTTCAAAAATTCTTGTGTTAACGTTTTGAGAGTAAGAAAAACTGAATTAGCCATTTTGTAGCGCTGATTTCTCTCTATCTTTTAGCTACACTTTAAATTTTATCACAACAAAAGCTACGGCGAAATACTAGTTTTTCAGTCGACTGTCATGCATTTTTTCATTAATTTTCTAAATTTTGGGTATAGTAATTAGGGGTGCTACTTTACTTTTACTAATTATTACATTATCTGGTAAAAGTAATAAGCGTTTGCTACTTATTATAGGTAAAAAAGTAATAAATTTTTTTATTTTATAACTTATTACTTCTTTATGTAATAATTTTTCATTGCTTTACTTATTACTTTTCATTACTTTTCGTCTTATTAGTAATAAGTAAAGTAATAAAAGATTATTACTTGGAAAAAGTAATAAGTAATAAGGTAATGAGATTTATTACTTGTTTCCTGGTAATAACTGATACGTTTTATTACTTATTACTTGGTAAAGAACAGTAAAGTGTAAAGTGACACCCCTAGTAGTAATGTGTTCAGTAAAAGTCCCATAGCTCCATCAAAATAAAAGCTTCTTCGGTCGGGTCTGTTTTCTTTTGATCAAAAATGATTGGTCTTCTATCTAACTGCAAAACCAAAATTTCAATCATGTTTTCCGTGTCTAGCTTGAGCACATTGCTGAAACGCGGAGGTTGTCAATTTCTGACATATTTTTATAACTTCGTTCTCCAGCACACCATCTGCTCTAAAAAAAGCTTTTTACAGACCACGAGAAAGAGCACATCTGAAAGTACCAAACATAAACTGAGTTCTGACTTTTGCTACACTTTTTAGCGGAAATAGTAGCAGAAGAAAAAGTTCAAGTCGAAAAAAATTTTGAGTTTGAAAAATTTTCATTTTTTTCCACTTTCATCTAATTGGCTTAGTTTTCTTGATTAAAGTTCTGAAATTAAAGTTTAGATATGGTTTTGTAGAGTATTTCGTAGCACATCTATTAAAAAAAACATCGAGTCTCGGAAACAAATCCAAACCAAGTTATAAGGAAAATACTGAGAAGCTCATATTATTCATGAAACATCCGTTATATTTACCAGAGATTGAAATTTTGTCAAAACAAACCATCTAGTGTACTGAAGTTCCGTAAAATAAATGAAAACATATAGAAATTAGTTTGTCTATTTACCGGTTAAAACAAGCTATAAGTAAGCTATAACATTATACTCTTGTACGATTTATGCAAATTTAATATCCTCTTCTTATAGAGTAAAATTGTGTACCATTTCTTCTAATAGAATCAACAGACAAAAAGAAAAGAATCAAAACAGCATATAAAACATATGTACCCGAAAACGAAATAATCATCATAAGCCCTATATATTCGGTTCATTTATTCTTCTGTTCTGTTTGTACAATTTCTGGTCTAAATTTCTTTTGTTTTATCCTGTATATTGTGCATGAGGTTAAATCTTTTTTTTATTTTTTAAATGATTACAGGGATAGTCAACAACAAGTTATGTATTACAGAACAAAAAGAAAAAAGTATATCAGTTTCTTTTCAAATAATCTAACAAAAAACTAAAGTTCCGAATTTCATAATTCTTAACAGAAAAGCAAACAAAATTTCATCATACATCGAAAGTATTGATGATCTAGATGTAGATCGATGAATGTAAAAAAAGTAACAATTTTTTTTTTATGTACGCAATAACCTGATAAACTGATAATGTATAAGATGATCATCGGATTTATTATCGTCATTATGTTTCCCGATGATATTTAATTTAACGGCTTGTCCACGTAACGTGACACTTTGCTGATCAAGTTTTTTTTGAATTTTTTTCGTCGAAAATCGATAGGGGCACATCACTAGACGCAGCTTTTCATGCTGATCACGAATCTGATTTTTTTTTGAAGAAAAAATTAATTTTCAATATAAAAATTTGAATTTAAAATTATTAAAAACTTTAATTTCAATTTTCTAACCTAGACATTTTGTTCAAAAAATTTTAAAAACATATCATTGAATAGAGAATTGAATTCTCTAAAAAATGGCTCACTTTCTTTTAAGATCTATTTTTCAGTCGAGACACAGTGGTTGCTTGAACGTTTCAACATCCGCCGTGGTCTGAAAGTCTCAAAGAATTTTTTGAACTTTATTTCAATTGAAGGCTTTTCAGGAAACCTAGAACTACATAGACTATAAATATGAAGCTTTTTGAACAACGTTTAATGCCTAAAAATCGTGTGACAAAAAAGTGTGTCACGCCGTTACGAAAAATGTCACGGCTTTATGTTTGTTTTTTGCATTTTATACTCGAGTAAAAAAAATTGGAAGAAAAGTTTTTTTATCGTTGAATAGCTCGTTCGATGTTCTACAAAACTTGCTCTTGAAACTGTCTAGCTTGATAGATACTTTTGCAGGAAATTAAAGCTTTATCACCAGTTTTCAAATTTAGGGCTCTTTTAGGTCACGCCGTTACGCACTGCAGAAGCCTTTCTGAAAGCTCGAGACTTGAACAAAAAAACTTCATTTTTATACCATAAGTAGAGTAAAGCAAGCTGCATCGAATGGCGCTGGAATGAGCTTTCTAGCTCTTATGGTTTTTAAGATAATTAAAGATAAGTGTGTCAAAAATGTCACTCCGTTACGTTTGGATAAGCCGTTAACGTCGTTTACCCTGAGTGTTCAAAAATAAGAAAAACTTCTCTGTTTATTTTTGCTTGAGGAAAATAAACAGCGATTGTGCCTATTTATGTTTGAATATAATCTTATTTTTTTATTTTCGAATGAGTAAGAAATTTTAGAATACATTTAAACTTGAGCTGCTGAAAAATAAACCGACCTGACCGCTTCCCCTCCCAATATTGCGAACATTACAATTATATTAGCCTCTTTTTAACAGACATAGTAAAATTTAATCTTATTTACTCTATATTATCATAAAGGAGGTAGAATACAAATATATGCTGATTTCAGCCGATTGACCGGACAGAGCTATTTGCGCTCAAAATTCCATCTACTGAACTAATAGAGTATAAAAGTTGAAAGGCAAAGGTAAATATTCACGAATAGAATTTGAACAAAAACAACAACTAGAGGACAAAAAAATTTAACAATGAGAATTAAAAAAATATGCCAATTGATGCCGCATAAAATAGATGAATTGTGTGACACATTTTATGTAAAGCAAATCAAGTAAAACTGAAGTGTAGTTTTCATGTTTCTAGTTGTTCATAAAGTTAACAGCGATAAAGTCATTAAGTAAAAACTGACGGATGAGATAACAAGTTTTTCTAACTGGCGAGTGATTGTCTTCGAATGTATTTCACATTACGTTTTATTATTTCATCCTGACGGTAGAGTATGAGTCCGTCTCTTACGAGGGAACCTCTCGAGGTGATTAAAAGCTTTTCGACTCAGACTATTTTCATCATGTAGGGAATA